TTGTTGATCAGAAAAGTTGGCAATTCAGTGGTTTGAATCCCTAGCACCGTGTAGCGGAGTGAGCTCCTGTTACTTGTCCCAGCTTCTGCCAACCTAGCAGTTCGAAAGCATGTAAAAATGCAAATAGAAAAATAGGGACTACTTTGGTGGGAAGGTAACAGCATTCCGTGCACCTTTGGCATTTAGTCATGCCGGTCACGTGACCACGGAGACGTTTTTGGACAGCACTGGCTCTTCAGCTTTGTAACGGAGATGAGCACTGCCCCCTAGAGCCAAAAACAACTAGCACGTATGTGTGAGGGGAACTTTTACCTATATATTTTAAAGTGGAAGAATAATGCTTACACTAACCATGTTATTTAGAACTTTTGTGGATAGCTACTAGATATATAGAAATAAATAGTTTCTTAATGAGTCATTCTGGCTTTATGATTCAAAGCATCATATTACAAATAAAATATCAAAATAAGCAAGGGAAGCCATACTGTAGTAGGCTAATTGCCATTTGAGGTTACATTACAATACACATTTAGAAAACCTGTGCCATGTAGTAGTTGACTTTCCTTACAGCAGCAGACTGGATAGGTCTTTTCTTATCTAGCAGCCTTGCTTGGAGTAACTAGAAACATGTTTTATTTCAGTAGCATTCCTCTTGAGTACTTAATGCTTCTTAAAGTCATATTTTTGCATGTGGAATGTTTTGTGCCTATGGAATTTAGTCTCTTTCAGTACATTGCTGTTAGGAAAGGTTGTTCCATGAAGCGCTATTGTTTTCTATTGCTGAAAAAAATGACAAAAGCTACTTCTTAAATTATAATACAGGGTATTTAATTACTTTTAATAATATTGAATCCTGTAAGGTTTGAACAAGGTTTCCTGAACAGTATGATTCATCATCAAGGGAACACTGACCGTCCTTATTTTTGGATAGCATTTCAAGATCTAAACAACACAGGGGAATATACTTGGCTCACTGAAGATGGAAAACATCATTTTGAGATCTATACAAACTGGAGAAAGTATCATCCCAGTGAGTTGAACCTTTTGTCCATTGGTAATTACTGTTAGTAACTTTTTGTAGGGATATACTTGCCAATTTTCTGCACTTTCTAACTTTTCAATCTTTAATTGGTTTGTCTTCCTTTAAACAAGAGTTGAAGTTTTTTTAAACAACAATCAAATGTGCATTCAAGTATTCAAAAAATACTTTGTTTCAACAGTTAAAAGAAAATTGCATTCTTTTTATACAACAGATTTAAGTATTTGACAACCTTGGGTTACTTCAAAGGTGAGAAGTAAAGTGCCTGTCACTCCTGATTATTACCCCTATTTGTGATGGGAGTTTTACTCTAGCAATAACTGGACACTGAGCTGTTTCCAGGAAGCAGCAAATACAGAAGAATATATAACAACTAAATTGCTCAAAATTGGAAAAAGAGTATGAGAATAGAATGTTATATCATGTCACTTTTTTATTAATCTAACACATGCAGAATTTGCCATGAGAAATTTTGAACTAGAAGAAATTGAAATTAAACTCAAGAACTTCAGTAATTTGCTGACATCATTTTGATAGCTGGAAGCAAGGAACAGTTAGGTAAATTGTTGCTGAAGATAGAAGAAAGAAGTATAAAAGCCTATCTGCTGCTTAATGTTAAAATTAACTCTTAAGGTTATATCAATACACAATGTCAACAAATCCAAATAGAAAAGAAATTGAAAATAGTAGCAGATTGTCTTCCTACTAGGCTCAAAAATTCACAGGCACAATGACTGTAGTTGTTAGAGAAAGAGATGGTTGCTGCCTGGAAGAAAGGCTAACATATCTGGACAAAATATTACAGTGCAGAAACATTACACTGACAAAAATATGTGTATTATGAAGGCCATTTTTCCCAGTTGTAACATATGACTGAAAACTAGTTCATCAAAAATACTGAAGAAAAAAATATCTGAATTATGACGCTGGAGAAAATGCTGGGAATAACAATTTATTAAATAGATGAAGTAAACTAGACTGCTTAGTGGAACTATTCACAATAAAGTCTAAAATATTAAAAACTCATAATGTGGAAGTAGGAGACATTGGAGAGGGCCATGTTGCTTAAAAAAATGAAATCAATTGAAAAGTAGGTTGAAACAAAATACAGTCACTGGTGGCATAAAATTCAATCGGTGGTGATACAAGTATGAAATTTAAGAACTCAGAGATATAAAATTATAGTATCAAGATATCCATTGGATTCCAAAGGATTGGAATCAACTGAACAATTGAGTAACAACATGAGCTAATTTTGAGTAGAAATTGTTGTAAGTAATCAATGCTATTACACAGCACTGCATTTTTTATAGTTCAGTTGTCTGAATGTTTACTCAGAGCATTCGTTGATGTGTTATTCGATGATTAGAGCTTATCTCTATAACATGAAACTTGTTCATTTTCTTTTTACTAAAGGAAGTATCATGCACATGTTTGAGGGTTTAACATTTCTCTGTGTGCTTCAGCTTTCACTGTTTCCTTTCCCCGTATTCATTTAAAAAAAAACCTCTATTAGTGACAGTGGAGGTTATTGGATCTTGAAATAAGACAAATAGGGAAAAGATAAGAACAGCAATGAAGATTGGCTGTATATTTCATGGTTAACATAACAGAATGCAACCCAACATAACACATAACAAACTTTGATCTGAATGCTAACACCTTAGAATAATATACATATACATATACATATACATATACATACATACATACATACATACATACATACATACATACATACATATATGTATGGTATTCAGCTTTGTTCGGGTATTTTCCCACGTCATTATAGTTGTGCTTTTAAAGTTGTAGCAACGTTTTGGCAGAATCTCATCTGCCATCATCAGGCTTCTGTATTGTGTTCGTCTGTGAGTCAGACTTTCACAGCTGTTTCTGTTTTAAATTTGGTGCCAGCCTACTGCTGTGCCAGAATGTTTTTTTCTTCATCCTGATTGGTTGGGAGTCTTGGTCTGTGTTTATTGGTCTTGGAATTTGCTGTGTTCTGCTTGATTGGTGTTTCTAATACCTTCTGTCTGTTTTGTAACTTTTTTTTGTCTTGATTGGCTGGCAACATTGTGTTTCCTGTATTGGAGGCTTTTAGTGCGGCTTGGCTCCGAGTAAATGGACGGCTATCATTTATTAGGAAGCTAGGTTTCACCTGGGTGCCTGGTTGGGGTATGTTTGAGTTGGAGGTATCAGGGGGGATCTGTTTGTGCCCAAGTGTTTGCCTGGCTTGTGATGTGAAGATTTTTTTGTTTGTGAGTGCAGGCTTCCAAATAATTTACAGTCTGGTGGAATCATCTCTTCTATTCATGCTTTCAGGTCTTTTTTCAATCTCTATGGCTTCTCTGATAATTCTGTGGCTGCGGTTTTCTATAGTGGCTAGGGTTTTGGTGCCATTGAAGTCGATGCTATGACCTGTTGCTTTCATGTATTGGACTAGTGAGGAAGTGTGTTCCAGCTTTTTACTGCATTTTTGTTTTCATCCAGGCAGGTACTTATTCTTCTATTGGTCTGTCCAATGTATGTGGCAGGGCATGATGCACAGGGGACTTCATATATGCCTTGGTTTTCCAGGTCAATTTTATCTTTGGGGTTTCTTAGGATGGCTGCTATTTTTCTATCTGTTTTGAAGGCAGTCTTGATGTGATGCCTGTGTAGTATCTTGCTGATTTTGTCTGTAGTATCTCTTATGTAGGGCAGGATAGCTGTTCCATAGGTCTGTTCATCTTCTAGGTCTCCATTATGTCTCAGTGTGTTTTTTTGGATCAAGCCGGTGATTTTGCTTTTGTGGAAGCTGTTGGCTGTCAGTACTTTAGTCAGGGTGCATAGTTCAGTCTTTATGTGTGTCTTGTCTGCCAGGTATTTAGTTCTGGTGATTAGTGTATATATATAATGTCTCCATGTGTGTACAATTTTAAAGTTAGATTGGTAACATAAGGCACTTATTAATTCCATGTATATTTGAAACAGAGCATTTTTAGTTTTTGAAGAAAATTATTCTTATTTTTCAAGAGTGACCTCTACTGGTTAAATAAAGTGAAAATATAAATTGCTTTCACAGCATTGTTATTTGGCAATGTGGCATTACATTTTTATCCTAGATAATTAAGGATTTAGAGGGAACTATCCAACCTTGATTGATTTCAAAACCTATCAGAATAAAACCTGATTAGTACTATGATTAAGAGACTACCAGGAAATAACCTAAGCTGGGGAGTTAAAGTAAAATCAAAACAAAGCGAGTAGCAAACCATTTACATAATGTTGTTAAGAAAACAATCTAAGTGTCACCAGCTAGTCTCTTGGAGTTAAGATCAACTCAGATAAGACTTTATTTTTAAAAAATTTGTATTTTTTCAAGAATGTTTCTGTAAGTTTTTATGACAAAATTTCTATATGAAAATTCCATGTTTCTTGGCAGTACCTATACTTTTATAGTATAGATTCTGACACCCAACTAAGGTAAAAACTATGATCAAGTTGTAGCAAAGGAAATGATAGCAAGAATGGCAACATAGTTTCTAGTGCATGTCAGCTTGATAATGGCTGAGTAATGTATACTTAGACTTAGACCTAGACTTAGAATAACATTATTCTAACTTTGAATGTACATTAATCGGCATACATTAAATTGAAATTTTATTACATACATCTCTCAAAGGGTCTCCACCTCCAATATATACTACATAAACATGACAAAATAAATAAATCAAACAAAATGCATATACCCACATATATGATACAGAGATACAACACAGTCTGGTTCGGATGTATACATGTACATAGTGAGAGAAACAAATCTTGCAAGTTTACCAGACGGATGGCATAGGGAACAAAGCTGTTACAGAAATCTGGAAGTCCTGCTCGAAACACTTCAAAACCTCCTCCCAGAGGGGAGCAACAGAAACAGACCGTGAAGTGGGTGTGTGGGGTCTCTAACAATGGTTCAAACTCTAAGCACATAGCTCTTATAAGCAGTATCCTGAATGACAGGGAGTGAACTTCCTACAATCTTCTCAGCTGTCTTTACTGCTCTCTGAATGGACTTTCTGTCTGAGGCACTGCAGCCATCAAACTAAACAGTGATGCCAATAGTTAATATAGTTAGTTTGATTTCCAGGTCTTTATATTTTTGTAGCAAAGTAAATATTTAAAAGGTTCAGTTCCGGTCATGATTAGAACAGCTCCTAGATAATTTTCAGTGTAGGTACTTTTAGGGGATCTAGGACAACTTGCCATGGCCAACTCGCCATGGCCAAAATTTGGATAATATCCAAATTATCCTGTCAACAATTTTAATTTATATTGCACAAATGCTACTGAACCAGCCAATGTCTGTATTCCATCATGTATTATTTACAACTTAAACAAAGAATTGCAAAAAGAAATGAGGCAACTTTACTTGCTGAACATTTGACAGAATGGATTATACTTGAAAACATACAATACTATCATAAATTAGATTTAGCTTCATCCACCCAACCTTGAAACTCTTTGGCTAAAATTATTTTCAAAGCCAAATGAGGAAAAAAATCCCCCAAGGCCAAAAAAAGAACTACATTTCATCGGTAACAGCATGATGTTTAAAATAGCTAAAAGAGCTAAAATCTTTTTTCCTTTCCAGGATAAATTTTAGTAACTAGACAATAAAAGATAATTCTAGTCTATAATATTACAATTATTCTTAACACTAAAGATTTGGCACATTTTATGTACCTTTTTTATTTGGAAAAGTAATAATTGTACTTATTGATAAATATTTTCGCTCCTTCTACCTCATTTTAGGATATCCTGGAGGATGCGTTGTTATGCGACAGGAAGAACCCATCGGCATGTGGGAGGTGAAAAATTGTACAACCTTCATGGCTAAATCACTGTGTAAACAAGATGCTAATTTCCGTGAAAAAAGTGATACCAACAAGCAACCAAATTATGATGAAAGTTTTAATTCTTGCATGCATGGATGGGAATCAGGCCATTATCTGCTGAACTGCTACAAGGTAAAAAATATTAAACAATTTCACAGAGAACCCAAATGAAATGAAATCCATTGCCATTTTAATAAAACATGGGATAATAATAAAAATATGTGCCACTGATTTTATTAATGAGAAATCAATAATCTGATTTTATTATTATTATCCCCCTAACTTGTTTGTTTTTTAATTTAGAGGACAGGCTAGTAAAATTTTATTATATATTGTGATTTTTTTAGTATTAAGCTGCCTTCCTAGAAGACACCTTCATTGATAATGGATGGTCCTTGCAAATTGATTATGTGCTGACAAGTCAGTATCAATTCTTAACAATCACAACAGACAGATTTTCTTCGTGATGCTTTTTTCCTAACTTGGTCCTTCAAGTCTTCCAAAGGTGACTTCTCTAGAGAGCTAGATCTTCACATATCCAAAATAGGATAATCTGGGCCTAGTTATTTATGCCTCGTGAGAATCCTGTATTTATTTGTGAGATTTCTTTGATGTTCACGTTTTTCCAACACCAAAATTCAAAAATGTCAATACTCTTTTCTAAACTGTTTCTTCATAGTCCAGTTCTGTGAATATTCATATTAATGATGCAGAGAAAACATAATTGTATGATTATAAGCAGAGGAGAGATTTGGGTAACATAATTGACTGCCAAAGGATGTATCTTTGCTGTAGCATTTTATATTTTCAACATCAAATCTTGGATTGCAATAGATACAAAAAACAACAATAGAAAATAATATTTCAAAACAACAGCAAAAAAAATCTTATAGTGTGTTTTTCAATTCTGGCCTTGATTGCATTAGTTTGAATAGCTTGCTCTCGAGCAGCCAAAATGAAGCCTTCAGTTTCTTCTTGTTAAAGTTCTGGTTTTAAGCCATTGCTGGGTTTTATCTCTATCCTCTTTCCTCTCTATCCTTTGTAGAAATTGATCATGTAATGCTTGTCCTTGCCAGCATTCTATTCTTTCTATGACATCTTTTGGATATTAATGTTTTGTTTCCTGCATGTTCAGTAAGTCCCAATTTTAATACTTTACATTAATTATATCAATGCTTGTTCTTAAATCAGTATGGTGATTACATGAAAATGAAATGAAAATGCATGCTTTCCTTCTTCAATAATTTGTTTGACTCGACGTAAATTTCTGTCTCTATTTCTGCAGGGAAGATATAATCTATCGGCATCATTTTGGGAATGTAATGCCTAGAGAATTGTTTTTTGATCCAACTGTCCAGTTCAGCTTTATCCAGTTAATAATTCCAGTAGTATATCATATCATACGTACAACCCAGATGTCTTTGATGGTGTTTCAACCACTTAATTTTGGCTTTATTACTTTTCTCACTCTTTGAATGTATTCTTACTAATCACATTTTAAAGTTGCCCATGCTTGATGTTATCTATCTATACTAGTAGGCTTCATTCTGGTGGGTTCTGATGGTTTGGCCATTTGACATTTCAATTCCGTTACTATTATTTGTGATTTTATCCTGCTTTATTGCTACTGTAGGACATTTCTATAGGTCAAATTCTATAGCTGTATCTGTGCTAAAAATTGTTAATAAGGTTTGTCAATGACTGGATTTCAATTTCTGATTCTCCATAAAACTTCAGATCATCTATATAAAAGGGTGATATTTTATTAGCATTTTTCCTGTTGGATAGCCAAGATTTGTTTTCTTCAAAATCACTGGAAGTTGTGTCATAGCAATGACAAATAATAAGGGTGATGATATGTTACCCTCAAAGATACCTTTACTAATGTTGAGAAGCCCATGTTTTCATTTCCAACCACCAATATTTTTATTATTTTTATTATCGCTATTTTGCTTTGGCAATGTGTTTTCAGGCAGTTGTTTTCAGTGTTCCACTTGTTTTACAGGTATTCCATACTGAAAAAGTATTAATGAAAAGAACTTGGGAGGAGGCAGAAACTCTATGTCAAGATTTTGGAGCACATCTTGCCAGTTTTAAACAAGTCCTGGAAGAGGATTTTTTAAACAAACTTTTAAACACAATGTTTCATACGTAAGTCTTTGTGTTTAATCACTGGATCTGGGATTTTTTCCACAACTGGAAAAAATGGATTATGTGATCTAGTTGTTTCATATACTTTAACATTTAATCCAATACATACGGTATTTTCACTGTAATGATAATAGATAATTAAGGACAGCAGCATTTGCTTCAAATTGTCAGTGTTTTCTGTATGTCTTAACTTTATACCCTGTTTATAGGATTTTCTTTTCTGTGGAGTTCTTGGTGCTCTAGTTTGGCATGGTTATTTGCTTGCAGACATTTCATTATCTGACTAGATAACTTCATCGTTGCTAATGAGTGTAGTATTTGGTTCCTGTTTATATACAATAGCTTGCCTTGCCAGTGTTGATATGGATGTGCTGTTTGGTGGTTCCTTGATTAGGATATTGTTTTCTGATTGTTTTTCTGGTGTTCATACATGCATATCAAGATGTTGTTTGCTGGAGAGAATCTACTTTGGATTTTTTTTGTTTTCATTTTAGGAATGTAGTACAACAGGGTACAAACACACTATAGCAATCCAGAATGCCAGAAGAAGGAAACAGATTGCCTATACAACATCTTCCAACAAAAAGGATGCCCATACAATTTTATCTAAAAATGCCTGATGACTCAACCAACACAAGCTATGAAAAAGTATCTTTTCTACACTACCATACATCAAAAACATCTCATAAACAATCAACGGGCTATTATAGTCACACAGCATTACTATAGCATACAAACCAACTAAACCACTCTAAAATGTGTTAATTAAACCAAAAGACCCAGTAGAGAGAATGAAAAAGCTAAGGAGGAAACAAAAAGACCAGAACCCATCCTCTAAGCCAACAACACTCAGATAAGCAGTGATTGACACCAGACAAACAAACAAAAAACAATACTCTAATCAAGGAACTACTAAGGAGAAAAATCACATCCTCATCATCAGTGGGCACACAGGGCAAACTACAGAATAAATGGAAAAAAACCTATATTCTCTAGCACTGATGATGTTATCTAGTCCAGTAATGAAATGTCTGTAAGCAAACAATGAAGCTCAAGGACTCCACTGTTCAATCTTGAAATACAAATATTCTCTTCTCTTTTTCCTTTATTTATGTGGGAAAATTGACACAATGAACTCACAATTTATCCCTTAAACCTTTGTGATCCTTAATACTTTTGCTGTGCTAGTAATCTTTTGGAATTCATTTTATTCACACATGCAACTTTAAGACAGAAGCTGTGTACGTTCTTTTTTTCTAAAAGTCTGGAAAAGCAGCTTGAATATGCAAGAGATATCTGAAGGGTAAAAATATTAAAAATGTCTGTGTTAACTGCAGTCTTCTCAAGCTGCTTTTCCTAACACGAGTGGTTTTCTTCCATGCATTTATGCATATCCTGATTTGCTGCTTACAGCAGGGGTCCCCAACCCCTAGGCCACATCCAGTACCAGGCCATGGCCCGTTTGGAATCAGGCCAAGCAAGCAGTGTGTGAGTGTGTGCGGGTGTGCAAGTCCACTTCCATAAGCAGGTGAGCATGTGCAAGCAAGAAGCCCCATTTGTGCGCCTACCACTTGCACATATACGCAGTGGCCACCACTCATGCAGAACCATCCCCTCTCCCCCGCCACCCCTGCTGATCCACAAAGTCAAAAAGGTTGGGGACCACTGGCTTATAGTATTTGTCATATTTTTTCAAAAACTTCAGAAAGAAGTGACTCAAAGATTTCATCACAGCACTTGCCTAGCATACAACCTGTTCTGGTTTAAGAAAATATTAAAATGTATGCATAGGTGCTGGAAAAATTGAAAATAAATCGAGATAAAGGATACATAGTTTGCATTTGTGTCATGGGGTTGTTGTTTTTTTTAACCACAGAGATGATGGAAGACAATTCTGGATTGGATTTAATAAAAGGAATCCATTATCCGGAGGAGCCTGGGAATGGTCTGATGGAACTCCTGTAAATATTATTTTGTTTACTCATTGTTCTTACAAAGTTAAACAAGAAACGGGGTTGGGTCCAAGTTGCTTTAGCAGCTTCCTGTCTAGTGTTAATGATTGCTCTTTGAGTGTCTTATTTCAGTTAACTTATTAGTTTAAGAATTACAGAAGAATGTAGTGGTTTTGAAGTACAGATAGTCCTTGACTTACAACCTCAACTGAGCCCAAAATGTATGTTATTAAGTGAGACATTTGTTGAGTGAGTTTTGTCCCACTTTACAACCTTTTTGGCCACTTGTTAAATGAATCACTGCAGTTGTTGTTACTAACATATTTGTTAAATGAATCCAACTTCCCCATTGATTTTGCTTGTCAGAAGGTCACAACAGGTGATCAGGACACTGTCATAAGAATGAGTCCGTTATCAAGCATCTGAATTTTGTTCACATGACCATGGGAATGCTGCAAAATGGTCATAAGTCACTCTTTTCAATGACATTGTAACTTTGAACAATCCCTAAATGAATAGTTGTAAGTCAAGGATTACCTATATATTGACAAACTTCCTTATAGACATAAAGTGTTCTTGAGAATATTAAATGTGCAGTATTTTATCTTGTAATACTTCTCTGAGGCAAAATGTGCCTTTCCCTTTGAAAAAAACATACAGAATCTATTGCATTTTTAACAGGAAATAATAGTACAAAAGATATCGAAGTTGTAGCATGGCACAGCATTCACACAATCAGATCCCTAATGCATTAACACATTTTTGTTTCAAGACTTATAAAGTGATTGCTTAATGGGTTTATCTGAATGGCAAACAAATAAAAAGGAGCTGAATTTTAGATAACTTAAGTGACTTCAATATGGCTGCTCATTTTATTCCTTACCTAATCTAATATTTGTTTAATAGCTCTTTTTTAGGTTTGACAGATATTTATTAGCAAATAATCTCAACTTGTAAAATAAAATGGTGTCAAACAGGTTATTGTACCTATGTAAATTCACCTCAGGATATGTTCCTGAAGCAAATTTACATAGGGAGACACTTCCAGTATTTGGAACAGATCCTCTTTAACAGTTTTTCAGTCACTTTCCAGAAGTCTTTCTAAGAATCAAAGAAAAAAATTGGGATTGTAACAATTCTCATTTTATAATCATCCTTGTCTGAATTCCAATAAGGATATATAAATTAGGTTAATAAGTAAGTTAAGTTAAGTAAATAAGTAAGTAAGTAAATAAATAAAAAAATAAAAAATATAGCATCGGATAATAGTGTCAGAATTGGGTTAAGGAATATAAGTTGCAATTAAATTAGCCCATGTCCCACTCAGAGTCACCTCTAAGTGAGATGGGCAGCAAGCAAATCAAACAAACAAACAAATAAATAAATAAATAAATAAATAATGATCTTGTCATTCATTGGCAAATCATACTTCTCAAGGTTCTAGAATCTTCTGCAAGAAGATGTGATGTCATACAAAGTTGTGATAGAAAGGAGTCATTCAAATTAGGATCATTAGCTGAAAGTTCTTCTGACAGAAAAAAGCCACTATTAGACTCTTCTCATGGTTTATATACTCCTTTTTACTAATAAAAATCTTCACTTCCATGTTCATTCCATGACCAAGTGTGTACATTTCAATAAGCCATGTTTTGTTTAACCATATAGAGTTATTGAATGAGACATAATTGATTATGTTCTCACAATAGGTTATTCTATTTTAATATATTAAAGTGAGTCTCTGTATCATGCTTCAGATTTAATGCATACTTCTGTGGCAGGTTTCACCTGCCTTTTTAGAGAAAACTTCTATTGAAGATAATGTGAAAAACTGTGCAGCATATAAAGCTAATGGGACTATTTTGCCACTGCGCTGCAATTCGGAACGTGAATGGATATGTAAAATACCAAAAGGTAAGGAAGCATTTGAACAACATCTTGCAATATGTGCCTCCTAAAATGATACATAGTCACTGTTTCATTAAGATAAGAAGCAGAACTCAATAGCAGATATCAGTCCTTGCATGAAGAAAGTCTCAGATTCAATTCAAATAGTCCTAATTTACTAATCACACCTGGGATCAAAAATTCCATCACTAAACAGTGCAGTCATTAAGCACAATTTCATATGATTGTACCAACTTATGCTATCGGTTCCATCTGCAGTGGTTAAGTGAATCACATAGTTGTTAAGCACGACATTATATGACCCTAAGTTGTGACTTCCTACCAGCTTCCCCATTGACTTTGCTTGTCAGAAGCCAGCTTTGAGGGTCACAAATAGCAAACATGTGACCACTGGATGTTGCAATAGTCATAAATACCACACCAATTGTGAAGTGACCAAATCACAATAATACGACTATGGGGACATTGTGATTTCCACAGCTTCCTGGACCTGTTAGAAGTCTCTCTTTTCAGTGCCTTCAAAACTTTGAATGGTTGCTGAACAACTGGTGAATAAGCAAGGATACCTGTATCTCGAGTTTTAAATAAAGAACTTAGAAATTGGAGAAAGAGAGGCTGCTCTTGGATTCCTTTGAAAGTTGCGGTCAGAATAGACCAGTCTTATCAGCACTTTAGGTTGGGAAAAACGTGTATTTTAGTTCAACATATCTAACATATCTGCTGCATGGTCTGTGTTTGATAACCAACATAGGACAGCTCCATCCAGTCAACTAAATATTTCTTTATTGTTAATAATAATAGATTATTAGCTTTTATGAAATTGGTGCCTATATATGTTATGTATTACTTTAAAATGACACGTGCTAATGAAAATTTAGTAATGAATACTTGGGGAAAAAATGACACTAAGCCAGAACAGAGTTAAATTATATTTTAATAATGGCAAAAAAAAAGGGGGGAAAGAAGGGAAAAAATCTGCATTATGTTCTTCAAACCAAAATGTTATTTCTGTTTCAGGTGTGAAACCCAAGACTCCACAATGGTATATTAATGGTAAGGGTAAAAACATGTTTTTCACTTACTGAAACAGTATGTATATATCAGTGGTGGGATTCAAAATCTTTTACCACCAGTTCAGTGGGGGCACTTTGCATGCATGCGTGCGCCAAATGCGTACTTTGTGCAGGCGCAGATGCATTCCAACTCACTTCCTGCAAACCTGCACTCTCCCGGTCACTTCAGCAGCTGCCGTGCAGCACTCTTCTGTGCCGCGCAAAGCAGCTGTGCTTCAAAAGCAGAAGATAAAGGTGAATATGGGAGCCCAGGTGGGCGGGTGGGCCCAACAGCAGAGCAGCGGAGAGAACTTTTTCGGTCTCCGCTGCTCATCGCCAGCTTGGCAAAACCGGGCCAAACCGGTAGTTACCACTGGTTGTGTGTGTGTGTGCATAGCTGGGTGAGTTCCCATCACTGGCTCCAGCTCCTTGACAAGGACATGAAAGGAGCCTCCATGGGCAATGGTGATGTCACCAGCAAATCTTTTCAACCTGGAAGCACCTTAAACGATGCCTCTGACATGGGATTTCCCCTACTTTTCTGCTGTTTTAGGTGCTTTTGCTTAATTCTAAGAATGAGAATTCTTTGTTTGCCAGAACTTTCCTACTCTCGTGAAAATCCCTTAAATTTAAAATGACATTGTTAAATATTGGCCATTTTGCTGATAAATTTCTACAGTGTGATCTTGTTGTACTTTGATTCATAGGTTTTGCTTCTTTGCATCAAGCCCAAAAATGCACTGTTGGTCCATGTGGTGTTTGATTGGCAATGTCAAGGAAGGAATAATAAATGATTGAACATTGTAATCCTTGATGTATTTCAGCAGCACAGTGGGCAAGTGGAACTTGTTTATATGTTCTTGGTAGTTTACAGAGCAACATATAAACATATAAAATATGGTGGCATAAGGCAGAATGCCACCAGACTTGAAATTCTAGACCTAGAAAACCTAGAACTACGCCGCCTTCAGTCCAATCTAAGTATAGTATATAAAATCATACATTGCAATGTCCTACCTGTCAATGAATACTTCAGCTTCAACCATAACAATACAAGAGCAAACAATAGATACAAACTCAAGATTAATTGCACCAAATACGACTGCAGGAAATACGACTTCAGCAACAGAGTGGTCAAAGTCTGGAATATTCTACCTGACTCTGTGGTTTCTTCCCCAAACCCCAAAAACTTTAACCTTAGACTTTCTACTATTGACCTCACCCCTTTCCTAAGAGGTCTGTAGGGGGCATGCATAAGCGCACCAACGTGACTACCGTCCCTGTCCTATTGTTTCTTTTATTTTTCTTATATGTATCCATGTATTCATAACTATGTTTTTACTTATACCTATTATCTTGTAAGCAATTGACAACCCAAATAAAATAAAATAAAATAAATAAATATAAAAGTGAAATTTGCAGTCAGTCATGGAAGAAGGAAATGGGGGCAAAGAATGGAGACATGCCATCACAAGATTAATACAATAAATTGTGGCTTAAAATATTTCATTATTAAGAGCAAGAAGAATCACAATGACATGCTAGGTGTGCTTGTATTCCATTGATATTAATGCAGTAGTTCAAATGCTTATTTTTTTCTCTTTGAAATCATTCCCTAAGATGAAGATAATATTTAATTGCATATATTTTTAGAATACATTCATCTAAAAGTAACTAGCTAAGTAGTCTGTTGCTGTCTGGACAAATACCAGAGAATCTGCTATTGTTTCTACATGTTAGACTCCATTCAAAGAAATAATTGCTCTGCTTTCAATGAAAAATATAGTTAGGGCTATACCAACCATATTTAAATTCATTGATTGCACTGGGAGAAAATTAAGCATATGCATAACTTCTACATTTTAACGGAATGATAATGATCTATTGAACATGCCTAGTTCATTAAAATGTAAATCTTTAAATCTCAGGAGTAAGTCAAATGTAGTTTAGCATCCACTCATCTTCTACAGTATTAGGTTTGATAGTGTTGGCTCTTGTAGAGCACTAGGTATGTGATGTTTAGTTCATTAACAATAAAAATATGTAACTCAAAGACATTTTCTCATATTCAAATAGATTGTATCTAACTTAATTTTTAGAGTTACCATGGTTTTATTATCAAGGAGCAGAATACCTTTTCTATGACAGCCCTTCACACTGGGACAGTTTTCAGTTTGTGTGTGGTTGGCTCCATGGGGATATAGCAACCATACAGTCCTCTCAAGAACAAGAATTTATCCAAAACAGAATAAAAAAGGTAATATATATATATATATATATATTTGTATACAATTATTTTTTAGGTTTTCATAGCACAACAGTTTTTTCCAGCTAGACAGACAGTCAGACGGACAGACAGACAAATAGATAGACAGACAATTATAAAGAAAGTTAAAAGACACAATTTGACATATATTTTCTATTTAATACAGCAGCAACTAGTGAAATATAATTTTGTGGCTTCTTCAGACTGAGCCAAGTTAAAGACCTAAGTACAGTCTAGATCAGCGGTTGCCAACGGGTGGTCGATGAGAAAATTTTGATGGTCCACAGAGAAATGTCACCCCCAGAGCACCCCCAAAGCAATTAATCCAGGCTGCACGGGAACACAAGGCTGCCCGCCTACATGGCCCGCGGAAACCCTCTCTGCCCACTCACTCCTTACCTGGCAAACTTTCCTACTAAAATGCTATTTTTCCTTTTTTCCCCCCCGACCATCAGCTGTTCTGCTGTGCCGGGACATTTAGATTAGCTAGAAAGCAGGAACTTGTTGGATTTCTTGCTTTCTAGCTAATGTTTAGATCTTTGGCTCTGCTTTTAAGCAGAGCTGAAGCTTCCTTAGGACTGAAGCAGTGCAGACTCAGGTAGGCGATGGCAGAAACACAGATCTCTAAGTGAATCTTTGATTCTGTGAGCAACTCGATCTGCCTGCCTGCTTTGCCTGATTTTGGGTAAAAGTTGTTCTTTTTTATAAAAAAATAAATCAATATTTACATACATGGTGTGTTGTGAGTTAATTTTGAATTTTGTGAGTTTGCTTGCTAGCAAATGTTATGGGTTTGCTTGCAAGCAAATTTTATGTGACTGGCTCAGGTAGCTGATCTCACAGATCTCTGAATGAATCTGTGAGCAACCCAATCTGCCTGCCTGCTTTGCCTGATTTTGGGTAAAAGTTGCTCTTTTTTATAAAAAATTCAATATTTATGTAAATATTTATAATATTTACATACAAGCCATGCTCAGCCAGTCACATGACCACCAAGCAACACCCACAAATTAGGCCACACCCACAGAACCGGTTGTTAAGAAATTTGAATCCTACTCCTGCCTCTGTCTCTCTCTGTCTCTCTCTGTCTCTCTCTCTCCCTCCCTCCCTCCCTCCCTCCCTCTCTCCCTCCCTCCCTCCCTTGATCTAGATAAAGCAAAAAGCACAGCTGATGAGCATGGAGAAATTAAGTCAGTTTTTCCACATTCAAAATATCAATACATTCTTCTTTTTCTACAAATACATATGATATCTCTGGTATTTCTGGGTTGCAGCCTTTTTTCTTTAAATTGCTTCTGCGCTAAAAATACTTTAATCCTGGCCATGAATGTTGCAACATTTTTACTCTTACCTAGATTTTGCTATTTTTAGCTTTTGAACCATCAACTTAGGCTACTTGGGTAGTTCTTTCTGGCTTTATTGTTTTCAGTAACCTTCTAAAACATTGGTTTTTATCCTTATCAGAAATGAGATAGAAATCAGTAAGAATCAACCTTTTTTGCTACTGCAATGTTGTGACCATAAAATGTCCCTTATCTGGGTTGGAGGATGCAAAAGAAGGCAGAACTGCCTAAATCTTGAATGAATTTGCAGAAAAAGGAATTCCAGCTGTTATAGCTTTTTTGTTTGTGGTTAATTTAATGAGCCGCGATGGTGCAGTGGTTAGAGTGCAGTACTGCAGACTACTTCTGCTGACTGCCTGCAATTTGGCAGTTCAAATCTCACCAGGCTCAAGGTTGACTCAGCCTTCCATGCTTCCAAGGTAAGCAAAATGAGGACCCAAATTGTTGGGGCAATATGCTGACTCTGTAAACCGTTTAGAGAGGGCTGTAAAAGCACTGTAAAGCGGTATATAAGTCTAAATGCTCTTACTGTTTATAAATACACATGCAAAAGTGTTAAATGTGCAGGTAACCTCATCCCTTCTATATTTATATTTTATGTTCATTTATTTTTATAGTCTAACCCAGGGGTCCCCAACCACCGGGCCGCGGAACAACTCCTACCGGGCCGCTGGCTTGCTGGGCGCCGCCATCTTTTTTTCATGAAAAAGTGCTTCCGGTGAGCTTTTCCGGGTAGAAAGCTCACCGGAAGCACGTTTTCATCAAAAAAAGATGGCGGCGCCCAGTTGATGCCGGTACCGGGCCGCGGCGTCAAAAAGGTTGGGGATCACTGGTCTAACCTCCTTGAAAGTTAGTGGAATTCTTTTGTTTCAGCAAAGCTTTAGAAAAGGGGATGATCCTCTAATTGTTAAGTCATGTTATTACGAAATTTCATTTTAATGTATGCTGATTAGTGTACATTCAAAGTGACAATAAAGTTATTCTAAGTCTAAGTTATTCTGTGTGATTTTATTATTGTATTGTATTTTTTCTTTTTGTTGGTTTAATTCAGATCAATAAATCATTATGGCAATGATGCCTTTCAAAAATATTTGGCAGGATATACATTTCAAAATGAATAAAGTATTAATAGAATAGAATAGAATAGAATAGAATAGAATAGAATAGAATAGAA